GTTTATATATTATGGGAGGAATATTGTGCTGATAGCAGACCAAACCAAGTTGAGAGGTCTTATCTTTAAAATGATAGTCGTGAAGCTTAAAGGTCACTGCGCTTACTTATGGGCCGGTCTTTTCACTATATTTCGGTGTTTACTGTATCTGCTGGCGATACCGATCATGTTGTAGACTAGGCATCTGAGGATGTGTTCGGCTACCCTTTTTACTTAGAGAGGCAGCTTACATGCCACACTATAGATTCAACTCCTTATACTTTGCCCGAAATAATTGATTAAACACATCTGAAATGAGAAATGATATCCAATGCTCAAGATATTAGAAGGCCGGTTAGTTGAGTAGAGCGCCTTATCATGGCATCGCATTTCACTAGGCCTTGTCTACAGTAAAACTTCATTAGAAAAGCTATATTGATAACTTTGAAACCCATTCATTCTGTTTATAGTAATATTGTTTATTTAGACGGAAAATACGAGTTTGCTTATTCCAACTTATTCCCACCATGAACATTAGCTGAGAGATATTTGGTTTGCCTTGTAAGTCACCCTTTACTCTCTGACCCAATGACAGCCTAGTTGCTTGAATGAGTATCAACTCAGAGTTGATTGGCATGCATGACTCATTTCTAATGCATTTATGACACCCTGCGGGCTCTAAGCTTCATTAGATTTAAACCTAAAGTTGCCTATGTTGACCCTAGTTATTATGGAGTAAGTATACAAAGTCTCTCTTTCTATACATATATATATATATATATTTATTTATTTATTTATTTAGCATCATATTGTTGTGCTTGTGCATCCATGTTGCTTTACTCTTATTGCTATAGTCTTTTAGAGGTAACCAACATTCGTTTTAGAAGAAGTACTAAATAGTTTTAATCGGGCATCTGTGTGGAACGCAATTTCGATATACATCTATTCCAAGGTCTAAAAATAAGTAAAGTCATTCATAAATGACAAGAAACTAAAATACGAGGTTTTTGGTATGTGTACGAGTAATGCTATATGGTCAGAACAACTGAATTGCCAGTACTCGCATTGGAATTATGTATTTTAATTAGTTTTTCTCAGCTTACAGCATTCGTCTCCATATTCTTGCATTGGCTCCTATATTCTCTTTAACTACCACTTAGTGGGTTTAGATATTCTATAATCTACTTAAAATTTAATTTTCATATTTTTCTTCTTTCCAATCTTCCTTTCCTCTTTTTCCCTTACTTCCATCTATCTAACCTTCATCATCATCATTTCCGTATGACAGACTGTTTTTGCCAATGGCCACAGCCTTAACGAAGCACCCCACATTTCTAAGCTTCAGCAAAAAAAACCACAGCAGCCGCCTCCACGTCAGTTTCTCCACCATTATCCTCAGCAGCCACAACTCTACGCTCCAAATATTAACACTGATTACCCTTCCTCCGAGTCGCCCACTCATCCATCCAGACAGCTCTGTTCCTCAAGCCTTTCCACAAACCGTCTCGTTGCTGGTATTCCCACCATCGCCTCTTCTGTGGATACGGATCACTTGCACGAACTTGTCGAGGTCTCAATGGATTCCTGTGAGGACGAGTTAACTCTACGCTGCCGCCGAAATCAAGTTGCCCTCACTGATGTAGAGAAGCAACTGGCCCCTGAGATGGATAACGGCAGCTCTAGTATGATCAATAACACTAGTATTGTTACTGATAATGGCTTGGAAGGATCAAGCTTGCTACCTGAATATGCTGCTCGTGTATCACACACCGCGACTGACGTCTAGTTATGCTTCTACGATTTAATGCTAAAGCATGCTCGAGAGCGTAAGAGGTCGTAACGAGCCAATACGACCCTTAGAAGATCTGAAAATCTGCAACCCACACGTAAATGAGCTACAATGGAATCCAATAAATCTCCAGATTTCCAGACCTACTCTGAACCATCGTGCATCTTAGTTCATTCTCTCGTGCTATTGCCTTTGTGTGCCTGACGGATCACATTCTGAGCCATATTTGAACTAGGGAATTAATACAAATTTTCCTTTTTCATCAGTTATATGACTATGTTCTTTCTTTTATTCATCAGTCTAATCGACTTGCGATCTAGCTGTGTATAGAGATGGGCTCCGTCATGTTCTACAAATTGCTGTTGGAACTTCCTTCCTGATTGCATTACCTAGTCAGTAAAAGGCAAAACCCAGAGCTATTCGAAGAGATTGCAAAGTGACAATCTAACTCGTCCTTCCATTTTAGGCTTCCATTTGTTCCTCTATCTATTTATCTACTTTCCCATTTTTACCACTGCTCTATCTTAAAATCCGCATGCACATACATAAAATTTCAATAATGCTTCAACCAAAAATCAATTACTCTACATCTCCGCACTCAGGCTGATAGGTTGGATCTCATTT